CTATCCCCAGCCATTTCCTTCCCTAAATTTGCTTCAACACATGGCAGTTTGAAAAGGAACATTTTTAAAAAAAATTAATGTTAGATACATTTTTAATATTTCCATTACCTTAGGTAGAAAAAACCTGGGAAGACAATGGCAACAAATTTGAAAAATTCCACTCAAAATGCTTTTCAAAGAAGCCTTGAAAAGCAACTAACAAGTCTCTGGAAGTAGCATCTCCAAAAGTAACACGAGCCCCACTCAACATGTTACTTTGGAATATTTCCCCTACATACTAATGTATAAATCTAGACATTTCATTCAAAAAATCAACCCAAAAATCTGAGTCCACTTATTCAAGGGTCAGTGTGAGTACTGTAACTTAATTCTTATAACAAATCATATAAAAACCCATAATTTTGCCCCCAAACCTGTCTTTGACGTATACATGAGTATATACGGTAATTTTATCACAGACTTATTGCCATTAGGCAAATTATACTGACTGGTAAGTAGATGGCTTATATCCCATTAACTAAAAGCTCTGGGAAGTTGGAATTGAGAGAGAAGTAGCTCAACAGGAAGGTCCACATATGCTTACTGAAAAAAAAATAAGAAAGGGACTTGCAATTGAAGAGGACTTTCAATCTGCACTCCAGAAAGATTATTTTATGCAAAATGGGAAAAGCTCAAGTCAAGAAATAAGCAGCAATGAAGAAGGGTGGTGAAAGAAATATTTATAGTGGAGTTAAAATAAATGAGAAAAGAGGAGAAATTGAGAGTAGAGTAGGAGATTTGAAGCCACTTAAGGGCAAAAATTAAAGCATTTTTTTAATTTAAAAAATCTGCCAAATGACTTGTGGCCATTCCACACAACCCTATATTCCAGAATACCAAGGCAGAAAATCCCACAATATCTGCTTTGAGCTGGGTTCTCTAGGGGCCCTTCCATACAGCCTTATATCCCAGAATATCGAGGCTGAAAATCACACATTATCTGAGTGTAGACTCACATAATCCAGTTCAAAGCAGATGTTGTGCCTTGACATTCTGGGATATAGGGCTCTGTGGAAGGGCCCTTAGATGGCTCCTCATATCTCTTCTTACCTGAATGGGAAGGAGCTCTACTTCCTATAGTTGTGTTGGATTGGTCTGAAGCTTTTACAGAAAATTGGTAGCTACCCTGATTAATTGAACTCTGATTTGGGTCCCTCTTTACCCCAACATCCATTATGTCAAGGACTTCACCATCCCACCCAGCTCCCTGTAATAGATCTTTTCTCATAGCAAATGGACCATCTTACACCTTCCTAAGCTGAAAGAAACAGCTGTGTCCCTCAAATCCCTATTTAGCTGGTGGAAAAATAAGAATACCTTCAATTTATGAACTCAAATGCACCTTGGAATGACATTATTCCTAAAACTAGTTATTAGAATCATAGAATCATAGAGTTGGAAGAGACCTCATGGGCAATCCATTCCAACTCCTTGCCAAGAAGCAGGAAAATTGCATTCAAAGGATTCTCTGACTTTTTTTTAATGATTGGAGTGGGCATCTTAATTCCAGTTATTATCCTATATTGTAACCTAACCAAATTCTGCAATATGTTGGACAACCCACCCCTCCCTGGGAGATGGATATTCAATGGTAACAAGGGTAATGAGCAATGGAAATTGTCCAATCAGAAGCCAAGTGAATGACACTTTCAATGTAAGGAGATATAAGGGAGATCTCTTAGAGTTTTAGTGGGGTCCCTCAGCTAAAAAAAGGTCTATAGAACTGTGCTATGTGCTACACCTCTAGAAGATCTGGGATTCGAAGTTCTCTTCCCACAACTCGGAAACATTATAACTATTTGGAGAGGAGGGGGGTACAGTTTCCTCAATGGCTAGAGGCAGTTCTGCTCCAAGCTCTGACCATACCAAATCATGTTTCTTTGAAATGAAGAGTTCTTTCAAAACCTTTTGTATTATGGTATGGATCACTGAAAATAATCAAACTTGCCCATGCATGGCTAATGTTACTGAATTTTTCACTGACTAGTAGTGTAGACAATGTTGTACATGGGCCCAGGAGACCCTGTTTCAGATATTTTAAGACTTCGAAAACACAAATGCCACCTGACTTTCATTTTAAATCACAATCAGGGATAATGATAAGTATGAGAAAAGTGTAGGATAGCTCCTTAGCTCTATTTTGAATCCCGTACAAAATAAGTAATATATAAACATGATTAATAATCCTAGGATCTAAAATCCCAGATGGCTGGCTGTAATAAAACGAAACCCTACTTTCAATATGATGAATTTCAATGGTGAATCAAAGTGACAAATCCATGTGCATTTTCCATCCTGATATGAGTTACTGAAAACTCAGCTAACATGCTATTAGGAGAGAAAAAAATAGCACATGGCAGCTTCGAAGCATTTAAGAATGACAAACACTAGATGTAGCTGAAGCTTCTTAAATAAAGCAATCTATGGTGTCAGATAGATGGCAAATCAAGTCAGAAATGCTGTTCAGTTAAATAATCTGTTCAAACAATGCCGGATCCTTGACAATCAAAGTTGATGCCTTGACTCTGTCAGGGTCATTGCAGTGCAATCCAGCATCATAAAAAGCTTCCAAGCCCTACAATTTTACAGAATGCCCTTCACATAACAAAGCTGTGACTGGAATGTGCAAAGGTCTGTGTGGCATTAGGAGAGAATTGGCAACAATTTCTAAGGATGCAAAATACAAAAGATGGAACATTGCTGCTCTCTCTCTGCATTTAAATTTAAAGTAGTACCTAGGTGACTGTAAGTGGCTTAGCTACAATAAGTGAGATATATAGAAAGAAGGACATACTTTGGGTGCCACATTTTGTAGGCTAGCAGTAAGATATACATATTTCAAGTGACCTTCCATTAGGCTTGGGCATAGATTTGTTATGGCTGCTTGCCTTTGGCTTGTTCAATTGGTTCATTTTGTTTGGAAGCCCATAACGGCATGGGCTCTGCTGCCATTTTTTAACTGTTTTCCAACAATCTTTCTGAACTTTTTCTTTCTTTTTCAAGCACACAAACATACATTCCTTTCTGCAAACTATAAAAAGGAAGAACCCATAAACCAGAGGAGAAGAAGAAAAAACAGTAGGATTAGAACCTGAAGAAATAGGGGGCTCTCCAATTCTGAAGGATGTGAAGTCTGATGGAGAGAATCAAAAGGTCCATCTTGACTGCCCCATAATGTGGCCTAGGAATCACATTAGCTTGGAGTGTCCAAATGAAACAGATTAATGGATATTAACCTGGAATAAACCCACTATTATAGGTTAAAAACTACTATTCTGAGTTTTTAAAATATCTGTAAAGGTCAGGTATGGGGTCTGTGGGGATTGCCTCTTGGGATCATCATCTGCAATCCCAGGAGGTGTGCTCACAGCCATCCTGCACTTCTTGGGCTCAGTCAGTCTGAGACGGCGTAATAGCAGATAAAATTCCCTCTCAACAGCTCTGTGGCATCATTTCTCAGTGCCCATGGAACTAAGGAAACCTCATGTCTTGGTAAGATGCCTTTCCCTCTATTTTGGGGATGAGATGGGGCAGGGGGAGGGAGGGGAGACTGGCACTGTCCCTGGCCACTCATGCTGATTGTGCATGTGCACAGGTGAGTGTATGTCCATTCCTTGTAAAAAATGCGGGGTGTCCCCTATACATGTGACCACAAACTAGGTTTTAAAATGCCAGCCAGTGATGCATTTAGCCATGTTTAGAAAGGCCCTAAGATAGGTTTTTAAAGCTATTGCCTTTATGCCACATGGCATACATATTTTTCTGAATGTTTTTGTTTGTTTTGGGGTGTGGGGGGCTTTTCAGGGAGGCAGAGGGCTCAGGATAGTCCAAAAGGAATAGCTGTGAAGGAAGGGAAGCAAGAGTGATTCCCTGCTCCACCTCATCCAGGACAGAGATGTATGGGGTACATCTCAAATGAACTGCCATTGTTTCAAAAATAGAGAAAACATTGATTGTCTTACCTAGCTCTAATGTCCTAGACACCTCCTAGCTAACTACCCTGCCTTGTCTGATATCCCTAACACCTCCTGGCAATCGTCTTTAGTGACATTAAAAAGTTATTTCAACACCATCAAAAATTAGCTTTAAGATTTCCAGAAGTATGAAGCTCTGTGACCTTCCATTAGGCTTGTGCATATATTTGTTATTGACATTTGCCTTTGGCTTGTTCAATTGGTTGAGTTTGTTAGGAAGCCCATAATGGCATGGGCTCCGCTGCCATTTTTTAACTGGCCACAACAGAACTATGGCTGTCAAAAATGGGTTGCTTTTGGTTACATGTGAAGTGTAGGAAGGTAGGCAGCCAGTAATTTATCACACAATTACTAAGGCAGGGACTGTATTCATATTGTGCAATATCAGACTGGGCACTGTTCATAATATTTGATAATTATCTTTTATCAGTTGTTCCTCATTTGGACAACGACACTTGCCCCTCTACATTTATGGTTTGGACTTTGCAGATTTGAGTATTCATTGATTTAATCAAAATGTTCTTTCTAGGAATCTCTAGATCCTCAAGTGTGATCCTATGGTCACCTTTCTCCAGTCATGTAGGATGACCTAAATAGTTCTATATCTCTCCAGACATCTCTAGGTCCTCTAATACGATTCCTGTTTTAGCTTCCAGTAGATGTTGACCATAGTCATGCTGGAGGACTTAGAAATTCCAAGAGAAAGGGGTAAGCAATTTCTGTTTTCATGCTTTTTCACTTTCTGTTGGGATCCTGTGCCACTAACCCCAGCTAACATTGAAAACTGACTGCACATATTTGGTAATTCTGACTGCTATGATCTGCAGGCAAGACCTCACTGTGTATGGTGGTCAGAATACATTTGTGCAAGCTATGTCACAACAGTAGCACTTCTGAAGGAAACAAAATACTAGACCAGACTTCTCCGAGGTCATAAAAATGGACTATGCTGTTAAACATGGCTGTGAGTTTGCGTATATTCCTCACCTCTCCCCAGGAAGCAGGTAGGGGCTCCACCGGAGGGAAATATTTGGGGACATCCCAAGCCACTGCAGCCATGAACCACTTGAAGTCCTTGCACTTAAGGTGCTTGCGAAGCTCCTTCTGGGCTGAAAGATCACCGGTGGAGAGATGCCTGTACTCCGGCCGCCTCTGGTAAACGTACTCTGCGAACTCATCCATCCACGTTTCAGCCACACGCTTCAGGTTCTGAGCAGCAGAAAGCAAGAGTCAGTCATCTCTCTTCACTCAAGGCTGGTTGTTACCACTGATATACACACACACCATTATAATACCTCATTCCCTTATCCAGCTTTGGCTGGTTGTACATTAAGCAAATGGAAGCATTTCACATTTAAATGCTATTAAGGGCCTGATAAAAATCAGACGGATGGCTTCATTCCTCCTTTAACAACAAAGCAAAGCAAAACAAAACAGCTCATTGCAATTACTGAACGGGATTCAATTAACTAGATACAGTAAAGACTTGTTTAATTATTTCAGTGGAACCTTCCTGCAAATATCTCTTGCACTTGTTACTTGATTGCCTCATTTGGTTTCCCAACAGGATTTTAACGCAGAACTATTTTGAAATTTGAGATTAATTTTGTAGAGGTAACGGGAAATGAGCTCAGACCTCAGGATATTTTCCCTTTGGCGTTCCTGATACTCAGGAGGTCTTTCACACGCAGAATTATGATTCTACTTCAACTTCCATAGCAACATACTATGGAATCCTATGGAATGCAATTTAGGAAGGGGAACAAAGAATTTTCTGCTTGAAAGCTCTATTGCCTCACAAAGCTGCAAACCTCAGGGATGCAACCATGGCAATCAATGTGGTATTGAAGTGTTATGATTGTGTAGTGGGAAAGGTCACCCAATTTTTAAATCAACCTTTGGAGATAAATATTTGTCCTTTCTCTCCAGCAACACACTATTAGTCAGGAGCAGCTCTAATAAGTAGCTTCCTTACGCAGTAAATATTAGAGGACTCATTGCGGCGAACTCATTTTCTTGTAGTTCTCTCTCCTTAATACTACTGGGAATATTCTGCCTCATGTTCCTAACTTGGTTGCCTTTGGGTATGATTTGCTTAGCTTGGATTATTTTTGGAGGGTTGAGGTTTTATCCTATTGTCAATTAATCATTACAATGTGGAACTTCAGGTTTCCAGTCAACCAAGCTGTCTTCCAGGATATTCCCATTCCTTTCCTACTTTCCGGCATTTTCCACTACCATCACCATTTAGACACTCAGCTTTCTGTGGCTGGCGAGTGTGGTGAATACTAATGTGGTTCTTTTGGAGTTTTCAACCCCTTAATGTTCTTCTTATTTCTCAATCCCTCTGCAAAACTTTGGGTCCTTGTGGGCATGCTGATATCTCCCCTTTGTTTCTCAGATAGCCTTTGGCAATCAGCACCTGCATTTGTTAGGAGAGAGAGAGCCAATCTTAACAGAAAGCTTTGCTTTCTCTGTGATGGAAAACAACACATAATAGGGATACACTCCATGCTGTGAATTCTGACTCTTTGATATAAAGTGTCCCTCCAAAAAGCTTTTCTTTAATCAAGGCTTCTTGAACTGTATATAGCAAATTGCAGCATTCTAGCTAATCTAAAAGCAGCCAAATCATTTTGAATCCATTTCACGTCTGCATGACCACATTTTTAGATTTTTGCTAGCAATAAAAATGCCATGGATTAATTTAATTTGTTGGGAAATATAGAAGTAATCAAACAACTATAATGCTCCCATAACTAAGTTGGTCTGCAAATGAGATCTGTCCATCCATCCATCTGTCTAAACCAAGGCTGTGAATACAAGACTTTGGAAGCAATGAATGTGTACACTACTTTTATACTAATATAGTAAAACAACACTTGAAGATGAGCTAAAAGCCAGATTTGTATAGAAAGAAACTATTTTTCCTGCTGCAAGGGCAACACTGCACAGCAAGGTAGGATTCAGATATTATTTGATATCTCTCCTTTCACAAGTTAAGGAGGACAATTGATAGATTATCGCTTCAATTTTAAACAAATCACAATTCCTTGGAGTTGTGTCTTATGTAAACTATGGTTTGAAAACGAGCCAGGATCTAAAACTACTGCTTCCCACCAATTAAGCACAGTTAAACCATAGTTCCTTGGGTGTGATGCAATGGGAAATGGTACTTAATTTTAAATGCCAGATAAAGCATTCTCTCGCAACACATGAAAGAACAGAGGATAGTGTAAGTTCCAAAGTTCACTATCATTCATTTTCACAGCAGAAAATCCAAGTTTCTCACTATGTGTGAAAATAGATAATCTGTTTTAAGCTTATAATATATTAAATAAGCATACATACAAATAAACATGTTTCTTTTAGTCAAGGAGATTCAAAACGTTATAACACAAGGTACTAGTTTATTTAAAGAAATGTTCTACTGGAGAAACTCCATGAAATGTTTCTGAAACTACAATCTTGAAGATAACAGTATCCTGTGATCAAAATGGAAGATGTCATATTTGGGGCTGCTGGGAGGAGAGGGTGGCAATACTATCCTGCTCCTTTGGGCTCCTGGAGCCTGAAAAACTCCAGTAAAACCCTCGGGTTTTGGGTCTGTGTGGAAGAGCCCTAGGACTCTAAGATTCACCTGCGACCTGGGGGGCTGCATTTGACACCCTTGTTTCAAAGGATCTTTCCAGTGTATTGAACCTGTTCGAAGATAGTGTTCAACATTTGAAGTTCAAACTAAGACCTAGACTGGCTTCACCATCTCACTGACACCGGAGCCACCATCTATCACAGTGGATCAGCCTTCCCTGCTTCACTCTGGCTGCCTTGCTTGTTTATATAATCAAATCATGGTAGTTTATTTAGTCCAATCTATAGTCCAAAAACTATCAGTGCTTACTATTTATGATGCCTATATATTACCTCTAATATTACAGGTAGCTGATTTCTGAACACCAGAAATCAGAAATCGGATTTTGAACCGGAGGATTAAGTTATACTTGGGTGTTAATAGTGGGATGATAAGCATCCAGTTGGCCATAGTGTGAACATAACACTGGAAAAGATGGACCTCTCGATTAATGGAACAAGGCTTTTATCTTCTTATGTAACACTCAGAGAAAAATGTAAGCTGAGAATGTGATCCAGATTTGCATATTTTTTTGGCTGTGGATTTCTGACATGTCATATCTGCACACATGTGGGCATACAGAAACTTTGGTGGTAAATAAATGCACCAGGTGGCCAAGGAGGGCAGGTGCTGTCTCATTTGCTTCCATATGCATAAGCCAGATCGGTATGATCGCTATCTGACCAATTTAATAATAAAACATGTTCAGGAACTGCTATGTTGGCCATACCAACAAAATATAACAAAATACAAAAGGCACAAAAATTGACACACTCACAGGGCAACCACAATGCAGAAAATGCATCTTAAAAGCTTTTAAAGCTTCTGTGGCTTTTTCATTTGGTAAAAGTGTTACATCATGTAGGTGCTTTCAGGAAATGTGTCCCAAAAAGTGATGATGTGGCCTGGATCCTATTAGTCCTACCAACTATAGTAGATCAATTGAATCAAGCTGAATAGTGAAGTAACACTAATGTAAATTGCCTTAATTTAATGGATAATGAATATACTGGAACCGGAACTATTAAAAGGATCTCTACTGGTAGTGGTAGTAACAACAACAGAAACAATTATAGCTGTAACCAGCTTATCAAGCTTCATTCACAGCACTTCCTTGTCTAAACAAAGTCTGAAATGCTTCATCTTTCCTCTACCATTTGAGTATTTAAAAACTATGTAAAATAATGCTTTTCAAATAATAACAGCCTTACAATAAAAAGGTTTCCGTTTGCTCTACAGCTTCTATAAGAAAATGTAACAAAACTGGGCATTTAATTTCTTCTTTCCTGTTTCCTGGCATTTAGATGTGAAGTTAATTAAAAACCTGTTAGAAACACTGTATATTTGAACGCAACACCACTGTTTTATATAGTTTTAACTGTTCAGCAATCTGCCACTGCATAATTGACACTTCCTATAACAATAAAATATAATGTCTGTGTCTGTCTCTCTGTCTCTACTATAGCACCGTGATGCCTGCCTGAGAATTAAGCTCTGTTGTGAGGGGACTTTTTCCTTGTCCTTCCAGTGAGGGTAATATACTGTCTCCTGATATGGAAGAGGGTCTTCTTAGCCATGGCACCCCAACTGTGGAATGCTGTGCCCCTGGGGGCCCAAATGACACAAACACTCTTGTAAATAAAGTGCCAAGTTAAAACATGGTGGCTTGCCGAGCCTTTGGGCTTTATTCATTCAACCTAAGACTGTAATTTATAGTGTGTGTGTGCGTGTGCATGTGTGTGTGTGTGTGATCTGCTTTTAACTCATAATATGTTTTATTGACTTATACATCCTTGTTATTTTTAACCTGTTTAACTTGTTTTAGTGCTATTTGTAAGCTGGCCTGATATAGAGCAGACCATAAATCTTTTAATAAATAGAATAGTGAAACACAGAACTTGAAACATGGCATTGTTACTAAGGACCTCATCAGACGGGCATGGGAAAAGTGGGGGTTAAGTGGAGGGAACCATCTTACTCCTTTCCCTCTTGTCATTCGGGATGGGCAGCTATCCCATGTGCTTACCGCACCTTTCCCCCACTTTCTTCCGCATTCTCCTGCTTAGAGTCGGGTAACACCCAACTCCTGAAGATAGTCTTCAGACTCTGTTTCCATGCGCTTAGGAAATGGAGTGCCACAAAATCCCACTGGAGGTACCCTTAAGTCATGTGATGGCTTCCATGGGACTCCTGTGGGGCTCTGTTTTCCAAGTGAATGGAAACAGAGACCAAAGAATGTCTGATGAGGTTCTAAGGCCCTATCTACACTGACCATTTAATGCAGGCACCTATAAAAACATGTGAAAGAAAGCCCTTAATGTACATCAGTGTAGTTTGTTTAATTAGCATCCAGGCCTCAGATTGCTTCTAGGATTTCCTATGAAATCATCTGCACAGTGAAACTACTTTCTTCAATACCAGTTTGAAAATGCATGAAATGGTCAGTGTAGATGATGCCTCAAATTTCAGGGTTATTTTGCTTTAAAAATGATTTAATTCATCTTGAGTATTCAAAACCTTTTTCTAGTTTGCTGTTCCACAGTTCTTTAGAAGTGAGCAAAGTCCGCAGGAATAGAGG